TGAAACTTTATCTCACATACTTTTGGCATGTTGTTAGGAGGGACTAGTCTTTGGAGAAAGACCGTGTGCTTGGAAAGGTGGAGGGTCAGAGAAAGAAAGGAAGACACTTAAGATGAATTGACATGGTGGCTCAGGCATGTCAGAGGTGGTGAGGAGGGCAGAGATAGGGCAGGGTTCAGATTCGCTGTTCATAGGGTCGCTGTGAGTTGTAGTTGACTCCATGGCACATAACACCAACAACATCTTTTCTAGAGTATGGAAAAAGAAATCCTGGGAATGAAGATAAGCAAGGTAATTCCAGAAATAAAAATTACAAGTCCAAAACAGGAAAGATTCATTAACACTGGGGTCCACATAGCAACCCAGAGTTATGTTGATTTAATATAGAATCTGTACATTTCTCCCTGAGACTACTGCCCTACAATAACCCCCTAAAACTTTGAAGCCCAGGTCGCAGAGGCCACTTCTCAGTCAGGAAACACCTATAAAAGAAACAAAAACACTCTGGTGAGTCTTCCAGGGACAGATGCACTCCTTAGAGCAACCACTGAGAGGAGACCAAAAGGGTAACCTTTGCCTAAAACCAAAGGTGAGCAGGCAGGGTAGGTTGGGGAATGGAATCATGAAACAGTGTCCCTGAGAGGAAATGAGGCCTTGACACATTGGGCATGGGAGGACTGCAGTCACAATTGTTGATTGGGAAACTAACTTGCTATTTACACTTCTTATATAAAGTGTAGTAAGAGGGTTTTTTGTTTTTTAAAGTAACCCACTTTTTTTCTTTTTGGCCTGAGTGTTATGTGTGACCCTAGAGTCTCTGAGTGGCTTAAATCGTTAACTGCGGCATTAAGACCGGAAGGTTGGTGGTTACACAATAATACGTTGATCAGATGTTATAATAAATTAACGATATCAGTGCAGTACTATTTAAAAAAAGGTCTGTGAATGTTTGTATGAAAAGTCATTATGATCTGTAAATCTTCACTTAAAAAGATCAGTCTATAAAACAACAGCCCCACACGTTTGGTGGTTCAAGCCCTCCCAGATGCTCTTTAGAAGGAAAGCCTGGCAGTGTGTTTCTGAGAGGTCACAGCCTTGAAAACTCCGTGAAGCAGTTTTGTTCTGCACCTGTGGGGCTGCTTTAATTTGTAATAGCTTTAGTGGCAAATAACAGCAAATCCCTATGAAATGAGTCTTCAGGGGGTTTTATTTATTCTAAAATACTCAAAAGGCTCAGTTAAGTTTTAAAAAATGCTAAAAGATGGGATCAGTACATAACAATGGATTGTTTAATGAATAGACAAATAGTGCTTTAAAAGAATACTACTTTGAGCATACCAGTTTGCAAAACTAGAAACTTATGTGAAAGGCTCAAACTTAAGAAAGTCCAACCAAACAACCTAACAGAAAACTACATATTTATTATAACTAACCAAAAAGCTTTGTGGAAGAGGCAGAGTGATACATACACAAATGAGTGGAAATACATATTATCAGTTGCTAGCCAGAGCCTATAATTTATGTTGTTCTAAGGTAATATTCTTTAAAGACATAAGTTCCCAAGACTTAAGCGATGATATTTTCATAACCTTGTGTAGTTAGTTAAAATCTAGGTATATTTGTTTGACAAAAGAATAAACCTGCCTTGGAGGAAGTTTAACCAGGGTGCTCTTCAGAGGCAAAATGGTGAAACTTGTCTCATCTATGTTGCCAGGAGGGGCCAGTCTTGGAACAAGAGTTGTATGCTTGGAAAAGTAGAGGGTCAGCCGGAGAGACAAGACCTTCAACTAGTTGAGTTGACACATTGACAGCAACAATGAACTTGAGAATGACAGAGTTTGTGAGGATGGCACAGTATTGGACAGGGTTTCTGTCCATAGGATTGCTAAGTTACAGTCAGCTTGAAGGCACCTAACAACAATATGTAAAATATATGTAAAAGTTTTATATTAAATAAGGTAGACCAAAGAACAATTTATGTATTTTAATTGTGTTGGTAAAGAATATCATGTATACCATGGACCATCAAAAGAACAAACATCTATATTGGAAAAAGTGCAACCAGGATGCTCATTAGACATGAAGATGGTGCTGGCATTGCTTCAACTAGTGCTTTTTAGAGGCAAGGAGGGTGAATCTTCGTCTCATATACTCTGGGCATGTTGTTAGGAGGAGCCAGTCCTTGGAAAAAGACATCATGATTGAAAAGAGGAAGACCTTCAACAAGAAGGATTGACAGAGTGACTAATAATGGGATTAAGTATATTAGAGATGATAAAGATAACACAGAATAGGACAAGATTCAGATCAGTTGTTCAGGGGGTTGCTATGAGTTATAGTTGACTCAGTGGCACCTAACAGTGACAACATAGCAAGAGGGCCAGACATCATGTCTCATAAAATAGTGAATAAAGAAGCCCCAGAATGAGATGGGTTGACACAGTGGCTGCAGTAAGTGGCCTCAAGCAATAGTGACTGTGAGAGTGATGCAGGATCAGGCTGTGTTGTGTTGTACACAAGGTCACTAACATCTGAAACATGTTACTGTTGTTCCATCCTTGGGAGGTCATCAAGTATTACCCCCTGACCCTAGAAAGATGTAACGGTTAGTACTGAGAGATCCAGTAGCACACAACAGTTAGGAGTCTAAGCTCTGGAGCACGACTGCTGAAATAAAGTTCTAGCTCTGCCTCTTCCTAACTCTGCATGGCAGTCTCCTAACCACTGCCTCCTTATGCTGTCTGTGAAATTTAGTAATAAAAGTATGTGTTGCATACAATTGTTTGTTGTTGTTATGTGCTGTCAAGTCCTTATGACTCATAGCGACCATATGTACACAAGCCCTAAACCTTGCTCTATCCTGCACCAACCTCTCTGTCTCTGACACATCTACCCCCATTACCCCAGTGACTGAATCAATCTATCTCATCAAGGATCCTCCTCTCCTGTGTTGTCCCTCTACCCTTGTAACATGTCCAGAGTATGTCAGACAAAGCTTCAGAATCCTTGCCTCCAAGGAGCAAAAATTACTGAAGCCTAAATAAGATGTTGTCATGTGCCTGCTGCCAAGTCTGACCTATCAGTGAGTTTTCAGAAACTGCAAAAAACATGTGCCTGAGGAGCTTGCCTGCCTTTCTCCTCAGTAACAGCTGGTGGATTCCTTTGGGTTGGCAGTGCATTTCCCTCCACACTAGGCCACCAGAGCTCCTTAAATAGGAGTTGTTGCTGTGTACCATAGAGTTGGAACTGATCCATGGCTCACCTTCCACTGGGTTTTCAGAGGCATAATCGCACAGGAGGAGATTCCCCATCCTTCTCCTGCTAAATAAGATAAGACATAAAATGTACTAAATAAACACAAGTATGATGTCATTCTCTTACATGCTGTCAGCTAGATGCCTACTCATTATTACTCTGAAGGACAAAGTGGGACTGCCTCACAGGGTTTCCTAGGCCGAACTCTGAATGACAGCAGATCAGCAGACCTTTTTTCCCCTAGAGCAGCTGGTGGGTTTGAACCACAGACCTTTCAGGAAGCAGGCAAACACTTAACCATTATGCCACCAGGACACCTAGAAGAGTAAGAAAAAGGAATATTTAGTCACACTTACTGGATTTTTAGAATAAATTTAAGATTAATTCTAATGATTTTGGAATCATGATATTTGTATTTATTGTCTAAAGTGTTAGCTTTCCAAACAAACTATATCTGAAATTGTAGCTGGAACTGCTTGATGTGACTTTAGTAAACTAAACATTAAATTATAAATAGTAGTGAACATAAAAGTTCCTCAGCCAATCAGCATACCCAAGATGCCTCCCTCATAAGTGAGTTCCCTGCCAGATGCATTCTGCTCCCTCAAGGTCAGACTCCCCGCAGTCAGTTCAAACAGTTCTCACTGACAATCCCCTTACCAGGTCTACTAGGAGTTAAGTGGTCAGGACTCACATGAGTCAAACCTCACAGGAGTCAATCTTCTGGAACTCCTGATACATAAGGCTGGATTGCAAATTGAGGGAAGCCCAGGGCTGGTGCTGCGTGAGCTGAGGGACTTGAGTGCCATGATGGCTTGAGTCGTCACTGCTTCCGGTAATCTGGTAGAACTGTTGGTCCCCTGCATAGTTCTTGTTCTGCTGTTCTCTCTGCCCTGTCCTACGTACTCACAGCCTCTGTTCCCAGTAGCTTTAGCTTTCCTCATGCCCACTTGTGCACTATGTCCTCTAAGCTCATCACCCACTTCTTGTCCTACCTTCAGTTCACGTTCTCAAGGAAGGATTTTGTTTTTCAAGCCAGGGTCCAGCACAGTTTACTGGTCAATGTCTGGATTGCCCTCCTGTGTGGGGCATGATCATTGTGGCTACAGGAGTGGGGCAGGATGTGTGCTATGAAACGTGGCTGCTCTCTCAGCAGAGCCTGGAATGGGCCATTTTTCCTTTGAAGAGGCCTTGGGCTCTTACTTGCCATGTCTAGACCTTATAGTCATAAGATTATTTAGTAATCACACAGGGTATATTAAATGTAAACTTAACAATACAGTACAGACTTAAGTATCCTTATCTCCTAACTTACTCCCATTCCCTCACACGCTGCCATCAAGTCCTGTCTCCGGGCGACCTTCCGTCAGACTTCCGAGGTCAGCTCACACAAGGAGACAGCCTGTCTTAGGCCAGAGTCAGGGGTGAATTTGAACTGCACCAGGCTTTGGGTTAGCAGCACAGCTCACTGTGGACAGAACTCTTCCTTTAGGATCGCAAGCCTATTCCACATAGCAATGGCCTTCACCTCTGATTCTCAGATGCAGTGGTGTTTTCTCTGGTCATGTTACCCTGCGTTCCCTTCCTGTAGGTGAAGATGGTTGAGGAGTAGGGAAGTACATGGAGATGGCTTGTTTCGAGGGTCAGCAAACTAAAGCAGGATTGGTCTCATTCCTTCTTTCTCACCCACGCCTTTGCCTCATTAGGACCCTGCCCTTTTCTAAAAGGAGAGCTCACGGGAGGGAATGGCTGCTGTGTCTCTGACTGCCAGACGCCAGGTGAGGTGGATTTTTGCTTTTCTGAACTCCTCTCTCCATCTCCAGAATGTGAGCACCTTTTCTCCGCATCCTGGAGCTTCTTTTGTGGTCTTTTTTTGGTCTTGTCTTGAACACATACCCATCAGCCTGTCACCAGACACACAGCTCCTGAAACCTTGACCTTGAATTAACAGCCCACTGCCATGGAGTTGGTTATGATTTGATCCCATAGGGAAAGATGGACCTCTCCGCTCAGGTTTTCGAAGCTGTAAATGCTCATGGGAGAGACAGCCTCATTTTTCTCCTATGGAACTGCTGCTGGGTTCAAACCAGTTACCTTTCAGTTAGCCACACAACCCTTCTATGCCACATGAGTTCCTGATTTTACTGGTTTTGCAAAAAAACTAATGGCATGGATCTGATTAGAAGGTTAGGGGATCAATGTGCTAGTTACAGCCGGGTCTTTACTATGTCTGTGTAAGGATTAAGAGTAGTCCCTAGTGTTCAGGGACTGTGGGGCAAGACTGGGAGGGTGATAAGGACTTCAGAGCACTTCACTGAGGTGCTGATAGTGGTCCTCAAGGTGGACAGAAACATGGGGCTGGGCACATTCTTGGCCAAGGGCAGAAAATCTTTTAATTCCATACACTGGCTTAGAACTTTTGGCCTAGACCCATTTGGGGTTTTTCGGACTGGGGATAAGGATAAGATCTGATAGACTTAGAGAACATTAGGGCTGGAAGGGATCCTAAGGATGCTGTAATCCAACCTTTAAGAATTTGACTTCAGAACACATACACAGCCCCAAGAACAATTAGTGACATTTTCAATGAGATGGTGGGTTATATAAGTTAATTCTCTTGGTTTTTAGTAATTATAAAATAGTTCTGGAAGAGAATGACCTTATTTTTATAGAACATAGTTGGAAATATTTAAGAATTACACACCTTACTTTCAAAGTTGAAGGTAAAAAAGAACCAGAAAGATGCCTAGAAAGAGACAGAGGTAAAGCCATTATGGAAGAAGTTGTTATTTGAGGAGACTGGATGAGGGATACCTCAGAATTTTTGTTCTTTTATAACATTTCTAGAAAAGAGAAAATCCCAGAGATTCAACTAGGAGAATATTTTTTATGTTGTTATGTGCCTTTGAGTTGGAACCGACTCATAACTGACTTTCCAATGGGTTTTCAGAGGCAGTAAATCACACCAGAAGAGATTGTGTATCTTTCTCCCATGGAACAGCTGGTGGATTCCAACTATGTGCCAAGGTTGGCAGTGTAGCTCCTTACCACTAGGAGATCCCCAGCTATAAGAATAGTAGTGTGAAATTATGAACAGAATTTCAGGTGTCCACAAATGCTTCAGAACTCTGCATTACCAGAGCCATTTCCTCTATCCCCTCCACAACCTCCTGGGCTGTCATTTTTCTCATCTCTCTCATCCATGTAAAGGAAGGTTTATATGTCAGGGACAATGTGATTGTGCTTTCAGGAACCAGTGACATTTGAGGATGTGGCTGTGAACTTCACAGAGGAGGAGTGGAGCCGTCTGGTACCCCTTCAGAAGGATCTCTACAAGGAAGTGATGCTGGAGAACTATAGGAGCATTGTCTCATTGGGTAAGGATAGTTTTGCATAAGGAGTAAGAATTTGAACTATGTTGATCTGAGGTTCTCTGTCATTGCTGTTGAGTCAGAACTGACCCAGAGTTGACTCTCCACTATGTTTCCTATGACCTTTCATGAGGCTGAAAATCACATGGGAAAAGATTGCTCATCTTTTCTCCCTTGGAATAACTGGTGGATTTGAACTACCAGAGAGGCTCCAGCTTTTGAGTTAGCAACACAGCTCCCTATGGACTGCTTCATCAGTGTACTCTTCTCTCCTCAATTCTGAACTGAGAAACATGATAAAATGTGGCATGTGCATATAGCAACAGTGAACAGAACTGCTTGCTCAGCAATTAACAGTGCTGGATAGACTCCTTTACTTGTATCTTGCCCCTGTGAAACATAAGACCAGGTGAACAGAGCAGAACAAGTGGTAGATGCAAAGAGCTGGCCTCAGTAAAGGAACGAAAGAGACCAAGTACTGTAGCCCAGCTTTCCTCCGAGCCCATCAGTCAGGTAATGGACACAGCTCCATCCAGAGGAGTAACAAGTGGGGTCAGGACACTCGTTGAGGGGCAATATCACAGAAGTCAGTGAAATGTTTCCTCTTAAAAGAGTCTCACTGAATCACCAGGGATGATTTGATTTTACTATTTATCATATATGTGGTCTAAAATACAGAAGGCCCTTTATAGATACAGAGACTATGAGAAAGGGAAAATGAAATACTGTGCTGATACCAGGTGTTAGTGAGAAGTGACGTCCCTGGAGCTTCATGAGGGAGAGGCTGTGAGGTGACAGATTTGGAAGCAGTTTAAGTAAGGCACAGAGGGCTGTCAATCACCTTCAACCGCTGAGGCCACAGGAGTGATGAAACCACAAAAAGGAACTGGTTTTTAGAGGCCAAAATGATCCAGTGATTGTCAGAATAATATTAAAGAATCTCAGTAGTGTTCCAGAAATCAGAATGGCCTCAGCTACCATCTCATACAGGGCAGGTTACAAAATCAAATGTTAATACCCCTGACTTTGCTTACACAGGTCAAATACGGAAAAGCAGAACAGAATATTCTCAAGGCATTATGGAAACACTAAGCCTTTGCCACCAGCTTTGGAACAATGACATATTGGTGAAAACAGAATTGCCAAGGACAGACACAAGGCCACAGGGAGGTCATAGACATGACTTTTGCTGTCGGAAAAACATGTGACCTGATAAATGACCTTGGACCTAATAAGGTGTCTTAATGGATAGATAGGAATTATAGGGGCAGTAAGTTTTAGTGAAGGAAGAACAGCTCTGAAAAGAAATTGCACACCGGTCAGAATAGAAATTGTCAAGTTTGTCTATGTTTTGCTGTGTATGTTCCCAACAACAAAAATAAAACATTTACAGGCTGAAAAGTGCTTTTCTCTTCCATGTAAGGATCCTAATACTAGAGAAGTTTATGTCCTAAATAGCTTTCCAGAAACGGATGTGGTTTTCATATTAGTAAATGGATAGATTTTCCTTTTAGGAATTTATCCTAAGGAAATAGCAACATTAGCAGCAAATGATATATTCCTGTTCTTGTCACACTGTTGCATATGTGCAGTGTGTGTTAATAGGAAACTCTTTGGAGGGTTGTACTGCTCACCAAAAGACTGTGCCTCTTTAACTGAGTGTTCCAGTGACTGTGAGAGAAGGAGGGATAGTCTCCCACCATGTGATTTACAGCCTTGGAAACCTGATGAAGGGTCTGCTGTGAGTTAATTTCAACTTGATGACAAAGACTTTGCTTTTTGAGGTTTCGTTTGATAATAGCAAAACATTACAAACAAATATCTATCAGCATGGCATTGGTTAAATAATTTTTCATTCATTACTGCACTTCTCCCCCCCACCCCCGGCCCCAGTTCGCTCCTCTCTTTGAAAAGTAAAACACTCCCTCCCTGGTACACAATCCCCCCGTACCCCTCCCACTGCCCCAAGTACATTCCACTATGCAACCTTAATTGTGAGCTCTTTTGATAATCATAATACCCTATCATACATTGCTTTTAAGTTATTCACTCCCTCATCTGTTTCAGTGCAGTGTATACAATTTATGCAGTTTTTCTCAGTCTTACCCCAACCATGATATCAGTCCCATTTTACAGCAGTGGCACCATGCAATATTTGTCCTTTTGCGACTGAGATATTTCACTCAGCATAATGTCCTCCAGGCTTTCCCATTTTGAATAATATTGCTTGAGTTCCTTGTTTTTCAATGCAGCGTAGTATTCCATTGTGTGAATATACCACAGCTTCTCT